ATAAGTCAAGTTCGAGCATCTCAAATTCAAATCGAGTTTGTATGTTATAAACTCGAGTGTAAGTTAACTAAATGCCTCTAACTCGAGTTAAACACAAACAAAACTCAAGAAAAAAAAAATCTTAGTTAGAATAGAAAACTCTTATTAAATGTTGAGTCAGACTCTAGCTAAACACGAACTGAACTCAATAATACTTCTTATTTAAATAGAAAACCTTTAAAAATTCTAGTCAACCTTGAGTGAAATTCGTGTACATCTCGAGCCGACTCAAACATTTATATATTTTTTATATCGAGCCGAGCTTTGAAAAAGTCGATTTCCGAGCAATTAAGAAAACCGAGCTCAACTCAATAAAGCCAATACTTGGCTTGAGTCGATAATTTCAATTGTGCAATTCTCCATACAAATTTTTGTGTACCATTTTTTTTTTTTTCAATTACATTACTTTTTATCTTAGATGATTTATCACAAATTCACAATATAAAAATAACTATACTCTCCCCATTTTTTTTTTTGTTTTCCTCAAAAATGATCCATGAGATATGGAAATCAATAAGCTATGACTTGAGACTTCAAATCTAAATGGGACTGTGACTCCTTTGAAAATTACGTGGCATGGATAAACATGAGAAAGAACACTTAAGAAGAATCAAGAAAGAGTGCTCCTAGAATAGAATATAATAGAATAGAATCGAATCTCACTAGCCTTTACCTTTTTTTTGTTTTTCCCATTGCTTTTTAGTTTTTACTATTCAAGTTCACGTTTAGATGTTCGCTTAACAATGAAAGCACATTTTGTCCTAAACATTTTAAACTATTTAATCAATCAAACACATGAATTGGGAATAAAAGATGAGACTAGGAAAATTTGAGGAGCATCATGCGACCTATTAGAGCCTCTCCAACTGGTACCTAAAACTCAAAAAATGCAGTATTTTTGTTCCAACCGATACTCATCCCCAAACGCAAATTGCGTTTTCTCATTTTTTTGGTCCGTTGAAACGCATATTTGCGTTTATCCTGTTCACTAACGCAAATCTTTTAAAAAATTGCAATATGACCTGATAATGGATCGGGGAGATGGGGTGTATTTATTTCCTTTCTTTTTATAGAGATTTTATGCCACTAATTAATATTAAACTAGTACGTTACCCGCGCGTTGCGCGACCTAATATTAAAAATGGTGTGAATGAATGAAAATTTAATAGAAAAATAGTATTTAAAAAATTTATTGAGATAATGTAGAATAAATTTTTGTTAATTTATTTAAAAATACTTCCACAAATACAACATCTATAATAGGTGAT